TCATATAGTCCATTTTTAAAAGTGGTGCCCGTTCATAGCTTCATTATTTCAGTACTTTTTCAAGCTCAAAAAGCGGCTACAATGAGACTTTAAAAAAGTCTTTACTAGACTCTAAATTTAACTGGAGGGACAGTACAATTCCTTTACAAATTTCGCAAATCTGATTACTCTCTTTCTTGTGGTTGTGACCTAACACCAAAAGTCAGATATTTCACCGTTCTTTAAGTTGTGTAGTGCCTTCAGGTAGATCTAGTTTGTAATACAATTTCCGATTTATGAAATGAATGTTCTTCTAGGCAGAACTTGAAAGAAACAGAGCTTCAAAGTGAAATTTCAAAGATTAATAACCGTAAAAGTTAGATTGCTTGGCTTGGCTTCCTGCTTTTTCAACAGAACAGAGTCCTAAAGAAGAATAATTTCAAAATTGTAGTGTATAAGGAGTTGAAATGCATTATTTTTCCAATAGATGGCGTTGTATAAGTCCGATCGGGTTCCGCTTGACTACGTTAGAAAGATGACATTTCGCACTAAAAAAGCTTATCGGACAGTTTTATGATTGATTGATTCAGTTTTGCTTGAGCGTGCGTCAAAGATGGACACAAGCAAAGGGAAAACTACTTTCTGTGATAAGATCGAAGACGCAAGCCAGGCGGCTGATGAATAGCGTTCATGGTCCTGACACTGTTACAGTCAAACGTGAACAATTTCGCTTTCGTTTCGGTAATTTTGATGAAAAAAATGGTTCACGGTGTGCAAGGCCAATTACTGAAAATGGCGATAGAACATAGACATTGTCGGGTCTGACCGTCATGTAAGCACTGTTTTGTTTGCTCAAGAGCAAAACATTGCACTAGAAACCATTTCAATAATGGTGGATACGCCAAATAAAAATTAATGCCATCAATTTTATTCAAAAATAATGGATTTCTTTTTACTACAACTGATATTTTAAGTTTCCACTTAAGACTGGCGGTTATATCAATCGAGTGGGAAGCAGTGTGTTCAGCGAGCTCTGACTGGCTCACCACAAAGATCCTTTCCAATTTCGAAAAAGCTTCTGGTATTGCCGAGTGTCAGTCTACACAACCCAATATATTTTGCAGTGATGTTCCACATGAAAATAAGAGCTTCTCATAAAAGTCCTTTAGTCACACGGCGCCAGTTTAGTATCGTAGTTCACTTCAGTTGTAGGAAAAATATCAAGACGCATATCACAAATCACACAATATGCTCCTCTAAAAACCGCTTTAGTGATTTTAAATTGCTAGTTATTTCTTCTTTAAGACTGTTCCATAGTTTCTCTTTCCTAGTATTGTATTTATATGTAGGATACCAACTGCATGTAGTAGAGAGCCGGTTCGGAGTAATCATCTTATTTATTCTTTGGCTGCTTTTTCGTCTACCAGTGGCACTTTTTCCTATACTCTGAACTTACATAAGATATGGAATATCAAAAAGAGTATCTGAACAAGTCGATTTAAGGTCTTTAAGAGGAAGAAAACTGAAATACAATATTTTTAGAATATTTTCTAGAAGGATTCGCCATCATTTTCATGGATGTAGCCATCGCTTACATGACCAAAGTACCAAGTTAAACCAGGCCAATCACTAACATTCAAATGGAGTTGAGGTCTTTCTTTTTCTTTGCTTTCACCACAGTTATGCAGCTTTCATCCATTTACATGACAAGGTATTGCAGGGCATAACCTTGCCTGCGTAACAAAAATTGTGGAAAGGACCACACATTTTACGCAAAATTTTCTCCCGAAGACTCCTAACGGCGCTACAACAGATGTCGAGACATCATCATAGAGCAGGTCGGTATTTGCTCGCAGACAAAGGACTTTAATGCCCATTTGTCATCCTTGCCCAAAGCTACCGTTAGAAACAGTAAGTTTGCATTGGTTTTCAAGCCTGACATTGTTTTGGATCCTAATGCTGGTTCGTTGTCTTCAAAGTTATGACTGTGACATGGACGTAAGTGCACCAACCGTTTGTTTGATGATAAGGGTCTTACTGTCCCAAGTGAAGAAAGCAGAACTAACAACCGTTGGGGTCCATTATAACACTATAACTATATCAGGGTCTAACGCTAGCGGTTGTATGTTCTTACATACAGGATATCTTATCTTCTTAATTCAGTTCTTTAGTTTTAGTTCTTATTGTTTTCCCCAGTATTATGTTGAAGAATTCACACTGTTTGACAACTAGTTTGGCACCTAACGGCTCTGGGAGATCCTTTTCAGTTCTGGCTATGCTTCTGGTGTTATCCAGCGTCAGTTTACGGAGCTGTCAAGGTTTGTCAAGTATATTAAATTCACATATATTGGCGTACACGCAGCTCTTTATTGTGCTTAAAAATCGATAAAAAGATTGTGCGTATCGATCCTTTTTTCACAGGCCTTTTCCAAAACTTGACGCGTAGTTAATATCAGATCTAAAGGCACAGCTCTAAAGACACGGCGATAAAGTTCAAGCAGTTGGTTGATCGCGGGTTTTGATCTTTCACACAATACGTTAGATAGAACCTTTTATGCGATTTTGATGTGGCTTATACCAGGGTAATGTGCGAAGAATGTGGAATAAACCTCTTTGTGGCTTAGAGAGAGCTGATTTAGGGGCCTATCAGTGGTCATGCTTTTAACCGATCATATTCCGCATAAATGCTGATAGATGTAGCTCTTCATACATATTTCAATTGATCAGCCGGTAAGCCACATTTTCCCGTCGCTTTGTAAATGCTATTCGAACTTTGTCATAGTCGCGTAGTGATTTTTTCAATCAATCAACATCGATTGGGGACTCGGGCTCGCCATTTCCAGGCATTTGATCTTCACATTTTTCTGGCTGAAGAAGTGTTCTCTCAAAAAACGAACTGGGTCCGCGGATTAATTCCTCCTTGAGCGTGCGTCGGTCTTGAAACCAGCAAAAACTTGTCGTTTTCTAGAATTTTAGAGCATTACCGCTGTCGGTCAAATTCTTCAGCTGTTCATACCCACGTATTACGGGCTCTAACTTTTTCTCTCTGTAAATTTATCTCGCTTCCCCTTCCAGCTTTTCAACTTTTGATAAAAAAAATAAGTCTTCACTGGAAACCTCTCAATTTCAAAAAATATGTAGAGATTAGCACAGGGGAAATGGTAATGAAAATGGAAGGATCTCTCAATTAGTCTTATAAATACTAATAAAGGTATGTAAATACAGAACATCACATTTTTGTGAAGGTCACAATGATAATGTCTGCTCTACGGCATTTAATGTGGGTATTAGCTGCAGCTCTCCGATCTCTCACATCAGCCCGCCAGTTTTTGTTAAAAATAAAGCTCAGAGGAAAGCTAACGATTGATTTTAATTGCTTTCAGGTGTTAAGTTTAATTTTTAGGATACATAGGTACCTGAGTCTTCTTCTTCGTTCCCTACTGATCCATAGTCGGTCAAAAGCAGAGCCGCCCTTGTGGATGATCTATATGTAATTTCCCTTTATATTGGCAAATTTCATAAATAAACAAATAATAAAATCAGCATCTAAAGCAACTCCCTAAAAGGCCAAGAACATCCACTCAATAACATATAATTTTCACTTGACTCAAAAGTAAACACCGTCATATTTCTCAAAAAAAAAAAAGTAAATTAAAAAAATATAAAAAAATGTCACACTTTGCAAGCTCATGAACCTACTTAGTGTTTATTAACCACTTAAGTGCACAGTGTGTTAGTAGGGCAATAAATGGTAATGAAAACATTCACGGCATACGAAAATTCTTTTCATTCACAAAAGCGAACGAGTTCGTCGCTTAAGTCTTTTGTGTATTTTGTGTACACGAGTGATTTTGCTAAATCAGTATATTTGAAGCGTAGGAGATTGAAAAGCAAAAATAATTGTTGTTTAGTTAATAAATAATAAGCACTTACATACATATCAACAAACACTGTCTCATATTAATACACACATACAAACATACCAACATTTATACGCACATGCACACACGTAAGTAGTTAACAACTCATAATCATAACAAACATAACATAGATACATACATACATTTTTTAACTTCTTAGCATTAAAACTGGTGGAAATTTACATTTCAGCGCAACTAACTGTACATTGAAAGTGCGACAAATATTCATATGTATTCTAACGACAAAGAGACGAACGCACAGACTTTTAAGCGGCTTAACTGAACAAAACGCTTCTTTTCACATTGCCAACGCATACCAGTTAAACATAAAAAATATATATATAATATACATAAGCATCATATATCAAGCATAAATTAAACGTGAAGAATAAAAATCATCTTGCATTCATTGGGAGAAAAAACAAAAATAAAATATTTAGAAAACGCTTTTGATTTATACGACCGAAAAATAAAAAAAAAATATAAAAAAAATCTACTAACAACTAAAACGAGCTTCCAGAAAAAAAGTGTCACATTCTTAAGTGCTAAAACGGCGACTGATGCATAGACACATACATATCAACATCAACCATATATATATTTATATTGGCCAAATTTAACATAAGAATAAACGAACATTCACCAAAAACGGGCGTCTAACAAAATCGCTATAAAATTTCGTAGAAAAAAAAAAACATAAAAAATACATAAAAGTCAGCAGTCACCAAAAGCATCAACATTTGTGTTTTTTTTCTGTTTTGGGTGACGGCAGTTAAAGGAAAATCACTCAACTCACTAAAAAAACACACTCAACAGGCATCATCATCTGAGACCGAGACACAGAAAGAGCTCAAACAGAAAGAAAAAAAGAAAACAAAATTTATATGAAACGAAGCTGTGTTGAACTGAAGGCTGACGTGCTTCAAATTACCGTTATTGATCTTCATATCATCTTTGTATAAACATACATACATATTATATGTACATAAACACACATATATAGTATATATACATATGACAAATTTTACTTTTGTTTAATACGCTTTTCTATTGTTGTTGTTGTTGTTGCACATCGCACGCAAACGCAAAATAATAAAAATACTAAAAAACAACAACAACAAACAACAAACAACAATAACACAATGAATTATGAAAAGGGGTTTGGTGAAACGCAACTTCAGCTTCAGCACCATCAACAGCAACAACAGCACCACCAACAGCAGCAGCAGCAGCAGAAGCAACAGCAGCAGTACAAGAACAAAAATAACAACAAAAGAAATAGCATACAAACTTTTTGGAATGATCAAATAATGGAACGTTTTATAAAGGCCAATTTATTTATGATTTGCTGTGTGGCGGCCGGTTTGCTATTGGTAAGTGAGAAACTTAATTGATATCTATACACATATGTACATACATATGTACGAGTATATACACACATAAGTGTCTAACATGCAAACATACATATATGAATATATAAAATGTGGAAATGTGTATTGTTTGACTAAACATTTCCGTTAGCGAAATGTACATTTGTAGCATTTTTAACGGTTAGTTGAGGTGTCAGTCACAAGTATGAACAGCAAATTACATTAGCAAAAAAAAAAAACAAGAAAAAAACAAAAGAAAGTAGTGGTGTCTTCTGCCATGCCGAATATTTATGCCTTTCATGACCATCAAAAAATTTCTGCTATTTAATTTTAAAAGTGAATATTAATTCTCATATCATGAAATATAATATATGTATATATGATAAAGTTTTCCATTTCGATAATTTTCGCTGATACGATAGATTTTTATATAACTGTATGGAATTCAAAATTTCACGCTCTCTGATGCTCTCTGGATGGATTTTCGACCCAAAACATCATATCTAAACAAATTGTTTGTATGGTGGCTATACGATATAGTTCTCCGATTTCGTTGATTTTCAGTTTCTACATTTATTTGTATATAAGTGTGTAGAATATTAAATTTCATACTCGTAGATACACTTTTGAGGGATTTTCGGTGAAAAACCTGATATCGGAACAAATCGATTTTATGGTGGCTATGTGATATAGTCCTCCGATTTCGATGACTTTCAGTTTCTACATTTATTTGTATATAAGTGTGTAGAATATTAAATTTCATACTCGTAGATACACTTTTGAGGGATTTTTGGTGAAAAACCTGATATCGGAATAAATCGGTTGTATGGTGGCTATACGATATAGTCCTCCGATTTTGCTGATTTTCAGTTTCTACATTTATTTGTATATAAGTGTATAGGATATTAAATTTCATACTTGTAGGTGCACTTTTGATGGACTTTTTGCCCAAAACCTCATATCGGAATAAATCGATTGTATGGTGGCTATATGATATAGTACTCCGATTTCGATGACTTTCAGTTTTAACATTTATTTGTATATAAGTGTGTAGAATATTAAATTTCATACTCGTAGATACACTTTTGAGAGATTTTCGGTGGAAAACCTCATATCGGAAAAAATCGATTGTATGGTGGCTATACGATTTAGCCCTCCGATTTCGATAATTTTCAGCATAAATATGTAATTTGTCAATTTTACGCTTTACATGCTTCTTTTTTAACAAATGTATGACCAAAAATCTCAAATCTGAAAAATTTGGTATATACGTATGCCATGCGATGTGACTGGTTTCGCCAAATGATCATTTCAAGGTGCCAGCGCATCTTTGTAACAAATTTAATTACCCTCTACGGGTTAAGGGTTCAAGAATTTACCCGCGGTAGGGCATGACTGTCGACTGTCGAGGCGACTAAAACCTAATAAGTACCGCGATGTCAGGTCTTTATACCGGAACGACGCAGACTTTTATCCCGCCAAGGACTGTCACTCCCACGAAATTCCACCAAAACTACTTTGGGAAAGATTTTTGCGGTTACAACAAATACAAGTTTGGTTGAAATATCTTAAAAACTGAGGTACAAGTTTACGTACACAAAAATGCATAGATGGACGTGGCTAAATCAACTCAAAGCGTCATACGATCTTATATGATCTGATCTCATCGCTCGGTATGAATTTCAATAGGATGGGTAGACCTTCTCGTACTTAAATACTTCAGATCGATGTTATTGTATCATTTTATGTCCATGAAAGGTATAAAAAAACTTGTTACTGTAAAGAAAAATGAAAATGGTCAACACACCACGGGCAGAGAATCAATCAACAATGTCAATGGCGGTGAAAATGTTAAAAACGAGCACGACAAAATCCAAATTCACTAAAACGAAAAATTTTCTTAAAAAACACAAATTTATGCGATACATATAGTAAATATATCAGGCGTACAACTTTGCTTCCGCCGTTTTTTTTCCAAAATTAAAAGCTTGATTGCGAAAAAGAGCTTACAGATATATTATCCAAAGTNTATATATATATATATATATATATATATATATATATATATATATATATATTTATAGTTTTATATATTATTTTTTATACAACTCTACCCTTGTATTACATATCCATTGCCGCCCTTATTATCAATTAAGCATGGAAAATGCAGCATAATGAAACACAATGAAATAGCATTGAATAACAAATGAATAAATGTTGTATATATTGCATTGCACTCACGGTATTTATGTATGTTTGTAAGTAGTGATTTGTGCAATTAGCTAGCCAATTAAATTTGTAGCATTTATAATAATGATTAAATGTTTCTCTTGCTCTCTCTCTGCCCGTTTGATTGACTTTGTAATTGTTCGATTGAAAGTGTTTTTGTTTTTTACTTTCGCTTTTCACATGTTTGTTATTTAAGTACTTCGTATTGTGCCATAATCATCGTTAGCTCAATGACGTTGCATGACTATTGATATTATTTAATTAGAAATTAATAAAAAATTATGTGAAAATATTAAATTTATTTAATAGCGCATTATTGTAAACTATATACATACATATATATATAAAAGAAATTAATTTTAATACTCTTGAAGCTTTATTCATGCATTTCTTATTTTCATTGGCATACATTTTATGGTTTATTTTTTTCTTAAAAATTCTGTGGCGTAAAATAACTAAAGAAGATAGCAAGTCCATTCGTAAACAAAAACTTAAGCAGGAAAAGTCTTCTCTTCTTCGCTTACGCTATTATAGCTCAATCAACTGTAGCGCGCCGTTCGCTCCTTCCTTTCGCTGTTTGGCGCCAGTTGAAGATACCACGTGAAAGAAGCTCACTTTTCACCAGATACATCCGACGGAGTGGAGGTCTTCTTCTTCCTCTGCTTTCACCAGCGTGTAATGCATCGAATATTTTCAAAGCTGAAGAGTTCTCTTTCATTCGGACAAGAAAGTCAAAGTAGGTCGCTATACTATGTCAATGTTATCGTATAACTCGTGCAGCTCAAGGGTCAACCGTCTGCGGTTTTCCCCATTACCAATACGAAAAGTACAATTTTGGCAAAATTTTTCTCTACAACACCACCAAGACCGTCATCGTCCATGCCTCGGCGCCGTAAAGTAGAACGGGAATGATGATCAACTTGTAGAGTTCGGTTTTGGTTCGTCGAGGAAGAATTTGATTTTTAAATTGTTTACTCAGTCAAAGGAAGCTATTGTTGGCAAGCGGGAACTCGGTTTGTTACCGAACCGCTCGGAGCGATCCTTCACAATTCCAACTGCGCCACTGGTATTGTCCAGCACTTAGCCGAATAACTTTGGCAGGGATACCAAATTCAGACATGATGGCGTAGATGCAGCTTCATATTGTGTAGGCTGCTCTAAAATCGATTAAAAGTTGATGTTTATCGATTATTTGTTCATGGGTCTTTTTTTTCCGAGATTTGCCACAAGGTTAATGACAGCCAAACTGATAAGGTTTGTTTGAGGGTTGGCTAAAGTGTTTCATACTCGTCCCTTGATGAGAGTTTATATGACATATTTAGGAGACGAAGCCTACGGTGATTGACTCAGACTGTGAGATTTTTCTTCTTTTTATGGATTAGACAAAGCACATTTAGGTTCCAATCGTCGGGTATGCTTTCACCGGACCCTGTTTTGCAAAGAAGCTCATGCATGCACCTTGTCAGTTCTCACCGCCATGCTTGAATAACTTAGCCAGTAAGCCATCGGCTCCTGCCACCTTGTTGCTCTTTAAGGCGACAATCTCTAGTCAAATCATATCATAGTCGGGCAAAGGAATGTCTTTTCTGCGCAATTAGAATTCAGCGAACTCTGCAACTGTAGATGTCAAAATGGCCCCACCGAAGCTTTGTCTATTTTGTAGGTCACACGATGCTCCACAAGGGGTGGCTTACTGCAACTTGCACAATGGTTGCGCGTGGTTTCAAGAGAGGAATTTGCCTCTAGCCTTACGACTGGTACTGCATACCCAACAGCTGTTGTTGCGGTGTAGTCATCATTATATCCCCAATTATATAATAAATATAACTATAAAGTAGTCACCGAGCACGTCGTAGAAATCCAATATTACATTCTTACATGTATTGCTACTTGCACTGCTCGTTCTGCTTGTATGAGACGGAAGTTGTTTGTTTCCTGCTGCCGAAACCACACGTACAAAAAAAAGATATATTTGTTTTCCTTCGCTGTCAGTACACATGATTTTAGTTATCTTGTAAGCCATTAAGACATTCCGTCTAGTCTTGATCCATCTTTCTTGGAAATTTCATTGAATAAAGTTTTAAGCGTCTCTTGCATTTTATATGCTCGTTGAGCCGCCAAACTAATGAGTCTTTTTACCAACAATCGTTTTACAAAGAAGCTTTGATGTGGTGAGGAACCCAAAAATTATGCAGCTACTTCCCTCTGGTTGCTTTATCCACGGCCTGCCCGCTTTTGATGTTATACTATTACCTTAGTTATTTGACTGGATATCAACGGGTTTTCATGTTCTTTCCTGCAATTTTAGTGAAGTCGGATACCATCGCTTGTAAAATACTGCAATACTCCTGAAGAATGAAGAGTTACTTGAGGTCTAGCCATTTTTAATCCGTCTGTGCAGACGCTCTACTCATTTCTTACTGATCTATCCACTTTCCTCCTTCCAAAAGAGTGTACATCTTTGTTGGTGTTGTTGTTGTTGTAACCGCAAAACTATGCCCCAAAGTACTTTTTGGGGAATGTTGCGAGAGTGAGTGTCCTTGGCTGGATAAAAATGCGGGTCGTTCGGCTATAAAGACCCGACTGTCGTGGGAACTATTGGATTTTAGTCGCCTCTAACGACAGGCATACCTTACTGCGGGTAAATTCTTGCACCCCTAACCCGCAGCGGGGATTGTACATCTTTCTAGTGCTGCTGTTTTAATGCTTCTTAACGCTTCACAGTATTCCCTTATAGGTTTTTTTTTATAAGAATTTAACAGCTGAGGTCTACCACACCAAGGCACAGCAATAATAACTTAGTAAAAATAATTTATTATAAATAAATTTATGTTCGGCTTAATTTTATTTACTTAACCAAAGTGCAACGGTTTCTTTCATTTTACCCCCAACAGATCGTCTATTTGGGTGCATTCTCTTGTGAAGTGTCATGGATACTGGAGGCGCATGGTGATTTACCAATATCATCATATATACTCTGCACACAATTTTTCATTGTATTTGTGGCAACAACAATACTCATACATGGACTTGTCACCGGTCTGCCGTGGGGTCTATTCGCGTGGTCAGTGGTTATTGGACTACTTTCAATACCGGAACTGATATTTGTCATGATTATGACGACACAGCATTGGGTAAGAGATTTACAGTTATTTTTTTACAAACTTACTTATGTACATATTCACAGAGATACTTTTACTTATACGAATTAAAAATATACTATAACTTACTGTGTAAATATTTATGTTTGTGGGCAAGTAGATTCATTAGAAAAAGTTTTATGCAAAATAAAATATGAAAAAATTAGCATCTTAAATACAAAAAATATAATTTTATCACCGTTATTATACTGCGTATGTATATGTACAGGGTGTTTTTTTCAGATATGTGGTTTTTAAAAATAATTAAAACGAAGTTTGGATTTATTATTAAAGCAAGAGTTTACCATTGTGTTTTACAAATGATTACAAGAAAGTGACCGCCGAGGCTGACTTGATTGACTTCGAGCGGAAAGTTCCAATTTTCTACCAATTTTTCACCAATGCCAGCAACAACACGCTGAAAATTTTCTTCCATAGCGTCAATGGTGTCGGGCTTATCTACGTAGACAACCGTTACATATACTATACATACGGCTGATGGTTTTCATGAGAAGCCTTTATTTCTAATACGCGAGATAAGGCGACTATAAAAAATTTCTTTCAAAAAATTGATTGTATCATTGGTAGTTTAGCATGCAGCGTCGTCTTGTTGGAACCAAAGGTTGGTCACATCATTCACACATTCTCGATTTCACGTACGAAAAAGTCATTAGCCATGGCTCTAAAGTGTTCCCCATTGATTGTCCAACCGGCTTCATTTATGAGGAAATATGACCCCCTGCGGGTTAGGGGCTCAAGAATTTACCCGCGGTAAGGCATGCCTCTCGTAAGAGGCGACTAAAATCCAATAGTTCCCGCGACAGTCGGATCTTTATACCAGAACGACCCGGATTTTTATCCGGCCAAGGACTGTCACTCCCGCAGCATTCCCCCAAAATAGTTTTTAGGGAATAAATTTGCGGTTACAACAACAACAACAACAACAACAACATGAGGAAATATAGATAAATAGTTCCCTATGCCAAGATAGCATAGCAAACAGCTTCTTTTTGAAGAAGTAACGGTGTCTCAGCAATGGCATTTAACCCAAAGTGATCTTCATCGCTAAAAAAAATATTTTCTTGTAAAAATCGTTCGACCTCAAATCTTGCACGAGTTGGATTTTATAGGCCTGCAAACCAGGCTCTTCCGCCGTAACTTCCGTAAAGTGGATGGACACATCCCCAAAAGCTTGTGCGCGATGACGATGGAGGCATTTGGATTTTTCTTCTGTGATCCATGGTTACCCTGCAGCGCGATTATATATATAATTGGTGCTTTGTAACGACTGAAGCGATTTTCGGCCAAGCTCCTCCATCAATTTTCAGTATGGAGGGCTCTACAGTTTATACCGAGCCGCCCCCGAACGACTGTTGCGTCTTTAGGAGGAGCTTTATTTCATGTAAGAAATACACTCGAAGGGCTTGATATTCCCTGCCGTTAGGTGACCGCAATTGAAAAAAATAAATGTTCTATAATTTGGATGTTGGTCGAGCCAGAACTCAAACACTGGCATTGAGAATGGCAGTACGCAACGCTAACCCCTCGACTATTGCTGCCGCGTTAGACGTACGGCTCGGTGTAAACCTAACCATTATTCTGTTCATAAATTTGCATGCTTTGCAAACGTTGTATTGGATTAAGTCTTTTCATTATAAATTGGCAAATCAAACCGAGTTTCTGCATCAGTCAGGCAGGAAGCACTGGGCTCGTTTACACTAAACTTCTAATTAGTGCCGGACTGTCGCCGATCTCTACAGGAGATAGCCAAGCAAAAGAGACGGTCTCTTACGTGGGTCCATGGTGGCAGCGACACCGAAGGAAACTGTAAGGCCGATGAACTTGCTAGCCAAGGTACGACCAAGTAGATTCTTCTCGATAAGGAATGCATTGGTATGTCATTTTCCACTTGTAAACTGCCTTCAAGGAGTTTGCATTTGTACAAGCCGCAACGAGGTGAAATGAAATGACAACCTGCCGCAAATCCACATTGATGAAATGGAATAAGAAGAGATCACGGTATATGTACTTCTTAAAAGGAGGTGACATGTCCAAAGCAATAGGAGTTCGGCAGGCCACTGTCTAATAGGATGACACGCGGTAGATAAGGGGATTCCTACGGAAGGAGGATGAAAAGGAAGATCACCCATATCTTATGCGACTGTTCTGCTTTGAGCAGAGCTATGTTTCAGAATTTTGAGACTAATAGGGCTGGGTGGCCTATCGAAGATAGCTGACGTCAAAGTCATGCATCTAATAAGGTTCATTAGAGAATCAAAATGATTATTGTAGGTAATGAAACCTGATGGTGAATTTTTTATGGCATCACAGTGGGTCTTAGTCAGGCCTAAGTTAATCCGTCTTAAAATATTTGTAGCCCCTACAACCTAATCTATGAATCAAGTAACAGTTGCCAAAAAGACCAACACCGAAACAAATATTGTCTCATTAAAAACCACACGTCTAAAATAACACCCTTTACATATAAAAATTATTACAACATATCTTGCCGTTTATCATTTCCTTTTGCGCTTTTTGTTTAATTCTCGCCTTTTTTGTATATTATTTAATTTTTCTCAGGGCTTACAGTCGGTGCATGGGCTCACCGAGTTGATTTCCTACCTCGTACGACTGGTGATTAACTGCTTTGCATTAATTTGTGTGATACCAACGGGCATAAGGTGAGTAATAAGAGCAAAAATTGTAAACTAAACAAGTTTTTTTTTCGTTTTTCTTAAAAACACTACTAAACCACATTGAATACAAATACAAGTGCGACAGTAGTGGCAGCAACAAACGCTGATTTGGCTGCTTTGAAAAGTTCATAACTTCACATGACCACCAAGCGCATTCAAATTTTACTTTCGACCCTGCCAAAACTCGCTTTTAACCCACATTCTACAACAGGTCTAGGAATCAGGTTCGTTGGCAGGTGTTGTTGCATGCCACTGCTTGCGGCATATAAAACTAATGAGAGGTTACAGGTGTTTTACAATGTTCACCGTAGCATTTATATATATATATATATATACATAAGTACGAGTAAATTTGTGTTTCACAGGCGAGGTGATAGACAGTTGCCAGATCACAGTGGGAATTTTTGAAATCGCGTACACTCAAGCATACATACAGAGGTATTTATTTTAGCATGCGAAAATGAGAACTTGACTCAATAAATTCAACTGATATTTTGAATGTGCTTCAATTATCCTAAATACCGCGATTGCCAAATTTCTCAATATTTTTTAAGTATTCAAAATAACATTCATTAGAAATTTAGCTTCCCTTCAAGGCAAACCTAAATAAGGCGAAGTTGATAGTTAGGATCCTGGTGAAATACGCTTTATTTTGGGAGAGAGATTCAGTCGTCGAGTACTGGCATTCATCCCGGTGGATGAACGTCTAGCCACATCACATCACTTCAAAGCGAAATTTTTCAACAAATCGTCGATTTCCGCCGACACACCGACGAAGAATAAGGACGATGTGATCAAGGACACTTTCTATGAACGCCTGGAATGCACCTATGAGCGCTGCTTCCGCTAGATGAGCAAAGAAATCCATTTTGGCGTTGCAGTGGGGAAATTTTAGCCTCCATGACTGAACAGCCCCAAACGTCCTGAGACTGATCGACTTTGCAGAGATACGAAATATAGCTATCTGTGGTACCAGATTTCCGTACAATGAAATCCATCAAGTTTTATGACTGTCGCTGTCGATTATTTTGTGATTAATGGAAGATATGCCTGCAATTTTCGAGATGAGTGTACATTCCGAGGACCCAACATCGACTCGAACCACAGTCTTGCCGCGCCTCAGTGTATCAAAGAGTGCCCGTCAACAGATACAAAGAACGTTTGGCGAAGAAAAGCTGCAATCACAACAAACAGCCGAACGGCTGATAACACGACTTGCACACCTACTTTCTGAAAGTCCTCATCAGTACACGCTGCAAATGAAACAGTTGGTTTTCGGAGATGTCTTTCCGATAGGCCATTGAAGAGGCATTGTCGGCTGAGCTTTTTATACATGGCGGCAAAGAACTTATTACACTTTTTTGGCAGAACATAGGCGGATGAAAGTATGCCCGACGATTAGAACCTAAATGTGCTCTGCTCGCTCCACAAAAAAGGCGATTTCACAGTCTGAGGATCGACACACATTCGCTCTTCACCAATTTTAAATAGTCTTTGACAGCCCGAAAGGGTGCTGCCTCTATGCTGCTATGTCTGAATTTGGTATCCCCTCAAAACTTATACGGCTGTGTAAGCTGACGTTAAGCAATACTAAAAGCTCCGCCAAGATCGGGGAGGATCTCTCCGAGCTGTTCGATAGCAAACGAGGTTTCAGACAGGGAGTTCTTTGTCAAGTGATTTCTTCAATTTGATGCTGGAGAGAATAATAAGAGCTGCAGAGCTGCTATAAGATTTTTTATCATCAAACAAATAGTCATCACATTCGCGACTCGGCTCCCACGTCACTATTGACAATCATTACTACGAGTTCGTAGATAATTTCGTCTATCTTGGAACCAGTATTAACACCAAAAATAGTGTTAGCCTGCAGCTGTTATCTTTAGATGAGCACGAACCTAAACCAAACTCTGCAAGTCACTTCTTATTCCCGTACTATATGGGCAAAGCCTAGACAATGTCAACATACGATCAGGCAGCCCTGAGCTCTTTAGGTTTTCGGCGCATGACTACATCGAATACCGCAATCGATGGAACAATGACCTGTTCGAGTTGAAATAGTTAAGCGATTTTAGAGACAGCGCCTACACAGGCTAGGTCATGTCGTTGGTATGAATAAAAGCGCTTCCGCTTTAATAGTATGCCGATGGAAGCAATAGAAAGGGAAGACGTCCACTTGGAAAGCGACCAGGTTTCACATGGTATTTCGAACTCGCGCTAAACAGCGAAGAAATGAATCGAATGGTGCGTTATTGTTAGTACGAGGTTCGATGTATAAGTGGATATATAAAAATCTTCTAAACAAGCGCTTGGGACTTCTGACAAGCCAATATCAACGTCTGCCGTCTTGCGCTGTCCCGATGAAACACAATTCCCCTCCAGTTGGCAAAAGCTGTTCGCTTCTGCTTCCTTCAGATGGTTCAATTGTTGACAGCACAGGTCCAAGTTAAAAGTTTGACCGTAGAGAGCAGCTCATAGTGGATAATTCCTTGCCAAATACTACCAAACACACAACAAAATCTCTTTGTCTGTCAAACTTGCTTCGGAAATCGCTTTTGCCGGCTCACTACTCTTCGACCACAACCGTTTTCAGTTGAATTTGCTGTAAGTGAACCACTTTTCTTCACCACTCACCATGCGCTTTAGAAATGGGTCGATCTTCTTACAATTCAGCAGCGATTTGCAGTTGGAAATTCGGTCCATGAGGTTTTCTCACATTAACTCATGTGACACCCAAGCATCGAACTTCTTTGTGCATCCAGCCCTTTTCCAGTGGTTACAAACTATTTTTTGCGTAATGTTTAGCTTCTGGGTAGTGGAAATAATGCTTGTCTGACGGTCAGAATCGACGATTACCGGCATTTTATCGACATTATCGACTTTTGGATTCAAACACCGTGAAGCATCTTTTACATCAAAATAGCCGCTGAGAAATCGGTGAAACGGGAATTGTATCAGAACCATAAGTCTATTCAGATACAGATCACTAGAGACATAAATTCCCAAATAATGGATTTCTTTTTACTAGACCAATATTTTTGATACGGTGATATGTTGAGCTGTTGATATGTTTTCAAGCAAGACTATTCTATCGTCTCTAAGAATCTATCTACTATCTTCTAAGAAAATATATACCCTTTTCCCACACTCCTTATTGAGTGTCAGAAAATCATTTTGGTTAAGGTGAAAAAGCCTTTTGAATCACGCTGAGTGAAGTTGTTGGAGAGTTTTTTTTTTTGGTTTCTCATTTTAAGTATTTATGCTATTATACAATGGAAAAAAAAACAAAAAAATATTTTTGCAATAATTTCTTTTAATAAAACAGTTAATTTTATTGCCTTTCCTTGGGCATTTCTGCCCAAAGAAAGCGAGTTCAATTTCGAAGTACACAAAATTTATGTGCATTTTCACTACACCATTTTTTATTTAATTATTTTTTTAACGTCTTCTGCCAAAACACAAATGATTTCTTTGGCGAAAAGTAAAAGTGCAATTAAAATGCTGATTTCATGTGAAGTTGCGTACTGAAGAAGTCAAGCAAGTGAAGTCAAAAGTTTTTCGTGCGTTACATTTCCAATTAAGATATTTGGATTTCATATTTCTATTTTTTTTTTCGGTAATGCAAACTGAGTTCGTTAGGTATTTATGGCATTTACGCGTGTTGAAGCATTAACAAGAATTTATTTTCTGCCTTTTTTGCGTTTATTTTTGCACATCGAGTTTGTCGCTTAAGTCTTCTGTTTGCCTGTAAATAATTCACTCACTTCTTCCTCATTCCTACTCTTTCTCTTACCCACAGATGGCGTCGCGAAACACAAGTACTCACCCAACTGCAGGGCTTGGCTACACGCCTGCAGCTGCAGACGCCACCGCCCAGCGTGCCAATTGTCAAGGCCGATTCGCGGCGCTCCAGCAAGCGGCGACAGAGCGGCGCTTTCGAGAATGCCGGCTATGAGGTGAGCGAACCGACGAAGATCAATATGAACGGCTCGCAAGCGCAAGGCCTCAACATGTATGCCAACAACAATAATCCGCTATTTGGCTCGCAGAATGAATTCAATGCGGCGCTATTCATGCCGCAATACATGCAACAGTTCAATGGCCATGCGTACGGCGGCAGCGGCAATGGTGGCGTGCAAATGCGCAACGGTAAGTTGAGAAATAAATAATTGAAAAAACGAAAAAATTAAATAATCATACGTGTATATGTATTTCCACCCAACAGGCAATCGCGCTCAATCTCTAATGGATCTCCGTTGTACCCTACCCGGCATGTATAATCCGCGCTACGTGCTCGACACGGAGGATAAAAACGGCAAATACTTCAACATTACCATTGACGACCTCAAGAATAGCATACAGGATTCGAACAAACACCAACCGCCACCGCCCTCGGTTATCGGTTCGGTTAACGATCCCATCTACTGTTCGATCGAACCAAAGCTGCCCACACCACCGCAACAGCGTCAACGCTCACCGGCCGATAAGTCGGCACAGTCCACGGGCAAGTTGGCCCGCAATTGCATATCGTTGGAGAATTTGGATGGTATAGCGAAGGTCCAGAATGAGTTGGCCGCCTATGGCAATAATTTGTTGCAGAATTACACGCAACAACAACAATATTACTTGGCTATGCTCAGCGGGTATTTGAATAATCCCGTGCATGCAGCGGGTAGTGGTGTTTATCGTCGTCCATCGAGCGGCTCAGCGGTGGGTGCTTTCTCGGGCACAGTGCTCGCGCAACCGCTGCCGCGTAGAAATTCACAGCACCTACAATATTATGGTGGCTTTGATTATGCGAATTACACAAATCCCTACATAACGGCGAATAGTAAGCTGTCGTTGGGCAATGAGTCCGATGATTATCGCAAGTATCGCGATGTGGCGCTGTAGGCCAGGCTGTAGGTCAGGCTGTAGGGGTGAGCGCAGGATGTTAGGACGCGGTGCTTAGTGAAGGTTAAGTAGTCATAGATGTTAGAAGTAGTCAATAGTTAGTTTAATATTTTTAAGAAAATCCCAAATTTCGTGGAAATACTCTTAGGATATGATAATTTGATTTAAGTCTCTCCCAACCGCTGATTGACTAATTAGTTAAATTGAAACCATTTAAATAAGAGGGCATTCAATAATCGACCTTCGGTTTTACTGAAAACTTATGTGTGTTTAGAGTTAGGTGCGATTCTCGGTCAGTGACCAAAGTTCTTAGCCCGCTTTGGAGTCTCTACCAGCTTTGCAAATGCACGAACCATTTAGTATGATACGAGACTATTAATTTAGCTGAAGCTCGCTCATCGAGATAGTAAAGCAAGTACCAAGTAACTTGTGCTGCTAGAGCCTGGCTATTGGCAGATAGATTTTTCCTCATCTTCTTACCCCCAACCAAAATCATTATTTTTGTAATTCTTTTCCTTCCGTGAAGCCCCAATTATTGGATTGTTTAAAGAGACTTAAGAAGAAGTGGCGGCCGCGGTAGCCGAGTGGTTAGCATTGCATACTTACATTCGGGATCGAATTCAAATCCCGGTATCACCGTCATTCAAAAAGTTATTGAAAATTAATTTAAAATAAGAAATTAAATTTTCTAATTGCGGTCGCCCCTCGGCGAGGAATGTCCACCCCTCCGAGTGTATTTCTGATACAAAAATCTAAGCTCCTCATAAAAAACCATCAGCCGTTCGGAGGCGGCTTAGTATAATATAAACTATAGATCCCTCCATTTGTTGGAAAAATATCAGGACGCAAAACCACAAATTGGAGGAGGAGCTCGCCCAAAAAAATCGCTTCAGCGGTTACAAGACGTCAATTATATAAGCAGAAGTGGTTAGGATCGCGCGGATAGTGCAGGCGGAGTATGATGTTGGTAAGAGGTCTCCAGTAACAAGGCTTCACTTGTAGCCAAAACTACACGGGATTGACGTTGCAATTTTTGCCACTCGCCTGAAATGAGGACCTCTTAGACTCTCAGGTAGTCATTCGGTAGTGGTTCGCTTATTTACTTAGCGAATTTTTGTTTCCGGTACAGGAAAGTCAGAACTTCAGATTTTAGACGGAAAACTGAGATCTCGGTATTGCAAATTCTTTACCTCAATCTTAACTTTGTTAAACTCACATTCGTTACTTCTTTATTATACTCATTCTTCACTCAACGGATAGAGTATTGAATGTGGAGTTGTCTTTGCCCTACTTAATTTCGGTTTAAAGACTGCTATCTCCTTCTAGTAGTATTTCACATGTGGCTAGCTCATACAAATAAGTTCTTTGTCCAGAAGAATCTGCTCGGTCGTAACTTGCTCAGCAAGTTTGTCCACATCGCACTTCTCCTATGTCTCTGGGACCAAAACCAAAGCCACCTCCTGTGACAGTACGATTCTAGAGTTTGTTGTGATCCAAATTTTGTATTTCCTGCAGAAGAGAACATGTATTCTCTACATTAGATCCAATAAGTTGCCTCTGTATACTATGTGGACGCCAGGCAACACTTTCGATTCTGCTCCAGTCAGAAATTATAATCCAGAGAATGTATGAGACAAAACTGACCTGCGGTGTGCCTCTATTGATATGTATGGATACTCGAGACCTCTGAATGCTAACATTCACTGTTCCACAATGAAATAACTGAAGTCCAGCATTTTAGTATTCTTACTAAAATCTTCAAGTGCAAATCATAGAACGTTTCGTAATAAGTTATTGAAAGTATCAGCTATGACCAAGATAGCGAAGAGTAGCTTCTCATGGAAAGAAACCACTTTGTATAGAGCAATTTTCTTTACTACTTTCCACGATGTGATGTTCAGAGAAAATCAACGACGATATCGCCGCAATTTTTTTTACTTTGCTAGACCACCAAAATTGAAATTTTTCGTGGTAGAGGTAAAAAGTATTTGTGTTCTTATATAGTCGAATGCTATGATGTTAGTTTCTGCTTGAATGTTCTCGATAACGGACATTTGATACATGAGATATGGGACATACCAATTATAGTCTCAACTTTCCATCTGATGCTCGCTTTTTTATTTTCATTATAAGACGATGTTATATTTGAACTTCATTCATAAAACGGCTACGTGTATTTATTGATCAGCCCCCGTATTTATAAAATCGAAAATTAAAACAGAAATTGAATAATAAAAAATTTATAAAAAGAATAAATTAAACAAATAATAAAAGATAAATTAATAATAAAAAATAAATTAATAATAAAAATAAACAAGTAATAAAAAAAAAATAAATAATAAAAAATAATAATAAAAAATAAATAATAAAAATAATAATAAAAAATAAATAATAAAAATAGTAATAAAAAATAAACAAAAATTTAAAAAGTAAATAGATGAAGAAATAAATAATAAAAAATAATTTTAAAAAATAAATAATAAAAATAATAATAAAAAATAAATAATAAAAATAATAGTAAAAAATAAATAATATAAATAATAATAAAAAATAAATAATAAAAATAATAACAAAAAATAAATAATAAAAATAAAATTAAAAAAAAATAAAGTAATAATAAAAAATAAAGTAATAATAAAAAATAAAATAATAAAAAATTAAATACAATTAAAAAAAAAAACAAATACTCATAAAAATATAAAACTACGTAATAAAATAATAAAAAATAATAAATAATAAAAAATAATAATTTCTTAAACAAAATTGGAAAAATTGTATTGAATATAAATAAGAAAAAAACTCGTAAGAATTAATTAATTTAGATGCGTAGAGCGTAAAACGAATAAGAAAATGTAATATACGAGAGAGATTATAATTAAGTTAAGTGCAATAAAACCTTCATTATCATATATTTCGTAGCCAAATAGGAAGGCAACAACCTTCCAAAACAGTTTCCTTTTTTGTGAATTAAATTGTTAATAATTAAACGCAATTAAAATAAATTTTTTAAAATTCCGAATTAAATATTAATTATTTTTTTTCAATTAATTTGAATTGTCGTTCTTTTGCTACTCTCAAAGTTTAAACTAATCGAAATATTTTCTTGTAGCGATTTTTCATTTTTTAAATAAATGAAAGTTTATTTTTTATAATTAGTTGAATGGGCATATAAATATAACCATTAGCAATACAAATAATAACGACAACCAAAGAGCAAACTAACTCACACAATAATTAAAATTAATATTGATTTAATGCAAAACAAATTCGATGCACACATTTACATATACATACATACAAATAAGTAACTGCTGTAATTTTTAAAGGTGCGTGAAATACAATATGTAAATCAGTTTTTTATTAATTAATTTTTATTAAATTTGTTTCCTCTGCAGAGTTTTCTTAAGAAGATGTTTGTGTAAAATGTCAACAACTTTTTATAACTTTTATTAAGTATAAATTATATAAGATTTTATATAAAAAAAGATAAAAAATAGAGCTCCATATTGTTTCAGGTTTGACACATTTGGAGCTGTGAAAAATAATAATTATTATAATAAAGAAAAATCGCTTCAGCGATTACAAAACGTCAATTATATATATATATAATAAAGAACGCATTTTTCATTTAAATTTTGTTATTTTTGCTTTTAATTTTTATTTATTTTAATTTAATCCTTCATTTTTGATTTTAATTTTATTTTTTTCTTATTATTATTATTTTTTTCGCTAATATATTACTTAAAACGTGTTTTAAATCATTTTTTAGTTTGCAATGAATTTATTTGTTGGCATAATGCATGTATATACATACATATACATATATAATACAATAGAAAATAGATCTATAAAGAAGGATAACATTTATTTTAATATATAATAGATAAAATTCAATAAAATTTTCAACTTTTTTGTTCGCTAAATACGAGTACGAGTGTTTGTATGTACTATATACATGTTAAAACAATACTTTTTACGATTTTTTAATGCACTTTTGTTGCCATTGTATTTTTTTTTTCAATTAGTAGAGAGCCGCTTGCTATGGATCCAACAAATCTGCCAAAGGATTATCAGCCAAAGTTGCCTCATTATTCAGTGGCTGTTTTATTATTGTTTTTGGCTTTAAATTCGAGCTCTTTGTGGGTGCTTTTGTTGTGGTGGTAGCTTTTGGTTTATCCGAGGCTGAAAAAAAAGATGTAAGAAAATATTTTTAAATATAAAGACTTTTATTTTATTTTATATGGAATATAATCTTACTCTGTTTCGGCTTACTCTTGCCACCAAACAGATCATCTTCATCACTTTCAATATCACTAAACAGACCACCGCCGCTGGTGCTCGACTTTGGTTTATCAGCTGCGCTAGTGGCTGTTGTTGTATACTTTTTGGGCTTAAGGTTTGACAAAAAATCATCATCATCTTCGTCATCGCTGCCAAAAATGGAGTCTAATTTTTTGATTGCTCCTGTTGTTGTTACCTTTTGTGTCTCACGCACACTAGCCGATTGTTGCAAAGACTGTGTTGGTTTTGTTGCTGCTTTCGTGATGACTGGCTTTAATTTACTACTTTTAAAGAGATCATCATCAGAGTCTTCACTTGTGGGTGTGCCGAAAATTGATTTTGACGAGGGGATAGTTTGTGACTTTGTTGTTGCTGCTTCACCGTTATTCGATTGCTTTCGTGAAACACTGCTGCTGCTTGCGACACTCAGGCCTTTAAATAGGTCATCTTCCTCGTCCTGATCAGCCATTAATGCGTTATCTCTTTTGAATGCTGACAATTTCTTGTCCGAAACGGCTTGCGTGTTGGGTGTTCGTCGCACAATGTTAACGTTTTGATTTGTTGCCGCGTATGGGTTTGTCCTTATATATTGAGTTTGCTCTGGCACATTGTTCGCTTGCATATTGCGTATACGTGCGGCGGTAAAGAGTTTATCATAATCATCCTCCTCTTCATCTTCATCTGTGAATAAATCTGCTTGATGGAGGGCATTAATATCACCTTCGTTGGTTGGCTTTAAGGCAGTTGGTAGCGATAAGTTGCTTATTGCTGGTTGCATGGGATTGTTTTCGTTTACATCTTTTTGTGGCGGTTTCGCAGGGGCAATTGGTTCTTTTACCATCCGGCCGAGACCACTAGTAGACGGCACTTCCTCTTCGACTTTGTTCTCTGCTTGCTCGGCGATAAGCGACTGCCGATAGTTCTCTTGACGCGCTCGCCTTGTAGATGGTCGTCGGCCAATTGGCGCACGTACGCGTGTTTTACAAATGCTGGGCAATAGATTCTCATTTGAAGATTTAGTGGCTGTAGATGTCGATTTGAAGGAGGCGCTCGAAATTGTTTTATTTATATCCGCTGATAAGGCAGTATTTGTTGATGTTTGTGGAACTGATATTTCGCTTGGCGTATGTGTATCCAGGCCGCTATCAGGAGCACTTGGTGATTTTTTGAAGCTCGGTCTACTACCACCGCCCGGCAGCAGCGCTTGCACATTAATTTTAATATTGGGCAATTGCAATTTGCCAGCAGTGCTGCGTGGTTTTTCTGATATGCGCAGCGACTCATCGATATCTGCTGTCTTTTGAATTGAACGATCAGTCACGTCTTTTGAGTCGACATTTTGTTTTCCGTCTTCACTCTCACTAGTATGCTTTCCAGCTACCGGCTCTCCCGGTGTTGTCGCTTTCGAAATACCTTCAAACAGCTTGTCATCCGGTGGCGGCTCATCATCGAATAGCGCATGCGCTGATGCTATTTTATTATTATCTTTTAACTGTTGCACCGCCTCCAACGTTTCGGAGAAATCATCATAGAAAACACTATGCAGGCGTTGATTGACGCCACCAGCAACCGTTGTTGGCTGTTTGGGTGGTGGAGCAAAGCTAAAATCAATATCATCATCAAAGTCGTCTGGTGGGATTTCGCTAAATAAACGTAGACCTCCATAATCGCTTGTGCCTGCCTCCGTTTTGTTGTTACCGACAACACTTTGCGTATTTGTTGTTGTTCCGGTTGTGGTTGTTTTTGCGAGATTCGGTAAATCAGGTAAGGTGGGTTCATAAAAATCATTTTCCAAATCGAGCGTTAACTTCGAGGCTGATAGTGGTTTGGGATTGCTGGCGAGTGTTGTGAAAAAGTCATCATCATCAGGCGGCTCATCGAGAAATATGCCCGCATATTTTTGATTGTTCAACTCGAAAAGCTTTTCTGACGCCACAGGCACATCTATATCAGCGACAGATGAGTCAATTGATTCCGGCGTGGCTTGTGGGGTATTTTCAGGTAGCTCTGCGGTCGCTTTTTTTGGAATATCCGATTGATCTACTATATTTGACGCGCCAACATTGATTTCTTCAACTTTGTTTGGTGTGGCGTTTTGAACTGTTTTTGTAGCATCTTCCGTTAAAGCTTTGTGTGGCGTTGTATTCATCTCATTGGCGACAACTTGCTCTTTTGTGACGTCTTTTGTAGGCCTTGAAGCGTTGATAATTTCTTTATCTTTATCACCAAAGAGTGCATCTTCTGATGTTTTATTCAATAAATGGTCTTCTGGCTTCTCAAAGACCGCAGCTTCTTCTGCGCCTGTCTCAAAACCATTTGTTGATTCTTTATTAATCGAGCTCTCTGTGGTTGGTAAGGTTTCTTTATTTGCCGAACCAAACATATTATTTGTCTCATTTTCGAAGTTTTCCTCCTCGAAGAGAGGCTTGATTTTGCTCACATTAGTTTGAGGCTTAGGGATTTCAGTTTCAATAGTCTGCTCAACAGTTTTCTCAACATTTTTTTGCTCTCTCAAATTTTGTATGCTCTCCTTTGCAACAGCGGAGGCTGTAGACTTATCTGTACTACCTTTTGTTGTCTTATAGTTCGGCCTTACAGCAAATAAATCATCAGTCTCATCATCAAAATCATCGCCGAAAATTGATGTGATACTCCTTGCAGGTTTATTAGCGTTCTGAGAGTTTAAATTTGCTGGTTTTGACTGGTCTTTAATTTTCGTTCCGAATAAGTCATTATCATCATCTACAAAATCATTCCCAAACAGAGGTGGTGGAATGTCTTTAGCACTAGTTACTTTCAACTTCTCATTGGCAACTTTACTCGGTTGATCAGTAATGGGTTTGATTGTTGCAGCTTTTGTTGTTGGTTTCTTGAAAATATCATCCAAATCATCACTATCATCATCTCCAAAAAGATCAGAGCTGAAGACTTTGTGGGCGGTCGACGTAACTGCAGGCACTTGTGTCAACTAGATAATACAAAAAGAAGTTTTAGTGTCTTAAATTAAATAATAAAAATGCTAGGTTAGGTGGTAGTAGATGAATAGGGAGGAGAATAGTTAGGTTAAAATAGATGCGGAAGTTTAAATAGATGCGGAAGTTTGAGAGGAAGTCGGATTATACGGAAAAGGGGGAAGGATAAAGGAAAATTAGGCTAAGTTTAATTAGACATAGAGGTAGGAGCAGATGGCATAGATTTCAGCATTTTTATTCGTCGTAATACCTGGTTTTCTTGGTTCGTCTTGGTTGAGGTTGTAATTTTAGCGCCAACTTTTTCATTTATATTCTTTGTACCAGACGCTGTTAATTTCTTTTCATTTATGGAGTCACTGACACTTGCTTTAGTTGTTATAATATCGATTGTTTTATTTTTGATTTCCTCAGCGTTTTGAAGAAAATCATCTTCAGGTGGTGTATCGTCAAATAGATTGCTTGACGTGCGCAAGTTAGATTTAGTAAGCTGACTTGGCTCAACTTCAGTATCAGCATCGTCGAAAAGTAAAGTTTTACCTGTGCTTTGTGGTGGTAAATTTAATTTTTTGGAGCCAAATGCATTTAAGAAGTCATCATCATCTTCATCATCGTCATCAAAGAGCGATTTAGCAGTTATACCTGGTTTTACTATAGGCGTAACAATGTCTTTGGTTTTGATATTATTATCTTTGTTACCGGAGAAGAGGGAATGGTTGGGCGGACTGCTCTCGGGACTTTCGAATAGATTTACCGGCTTTCGTTGTTTAATCTCTAATGATTTTTCAATTTCTACTGGTGCTGTTTTCGGAAATACTTCTGCTTCTGGTTTACTAAACAACGGTTCAGCAAATAAGTCGACTGTTTTCGGTGTGATAACTGGAGTCTCAGTCGACCTAGTAATGTTGGTTTTTGTAGGCGAAAAGGTTCTACTTGCTGGCTCTGGCACCTGCTGAGGTTGCTGATGTGCAGTTTTTGTTTGCGCTTTGTCTACAACTTCCGTCATAAATGAATTGAAATCATCATCATCGAATAAATTGACAGATTTTCTTTTAATTTGACTGTTTGCTGGTTTTTGTTGGACTGATTTATTTTCAGCTCTGCTGATAATGGACTGTTGTGGTGGTGGCGGATCAGCAAATATGTCCACAGGTGGCGTGGCATCAAGATATGGTGGCACAATATTGTTTTCGCGTTGCACTGGGGGTGCAACTGGTTGTTGGGGTGATGACGAAGCCGACGTACTCGTATTTGGCGTGGCATGTCGTATGGCAGCAAATAAATCTGGCTCACGCACTCTTGTATGCGTTGGATTCGTTGTGGTGCTATGAGATGTTGTAGAGCAAGTATCGCTGTCATCATTGTTTGGAAAGCGCTGGTTATTCGGTAGACGCTTAACGCGCGCAGCTGCAGCAGTAGTAACTGAAGCAGCTAATGTGGGCTCTCTTGGAGCGGTCATCAGAGAAGGATGCTTATGTTCAATGGGTATAGACGTACTTGATGCCCATTCGGAGAGATTTGCGGTATTACTTTCGTATGATTCATTGTCGGCTGCTGAAGAGCTGGAGGTTTGAGAGAATGCATCAGATGCTTCATCTCCTGAGTATTCGTTAGTGCCATCACATAGGCCAACATGCCAGTGTTCTTTCCATAATTTACTACCATAAATATGCGGCAACAACGCATCGTTATATGGGTTTTTGGGTTGATAAATGCAGCTGGAAATGTTGAAAATTAAAAATGCAATGCAGGTGTAATAAATTAGTGTGCATACTTAATATTAGTGGCAGCTTCATCTTCATCCGAATCCTCAAAGTCAAGCGCATACTTCTCATGACAATTGTGCAACATTTCGAGATTATTTTTGAGGAAAGTTTCTAAAACTTTTTTAGGCGATTTTACTTCATCACTGGACTGTAATGATTAGAAATTTGTTATATTTTGCTTATTAAAATAGTAATTTTACAAATTTGGGATATCATTCAATATTGTTTTATTTTTTAATATTCTATTTTTCAACTTTTTTGTGGGTGTAGTATTATGCTACATGCATGACGGTCCTTCAACAGAAGTAACGAATTGAATAAAATACTACACCCCTTAGCAAAATAGAAATTTATTACCATAGCGCACGCTTCCTGCTGCACCTCAGTTGTATTGGATTGAGTTTCATCATCATCATGGCAGCGACTTTCTACAAACTGTGAATATTGGAGGGCTGTTAAGCTGTTTGCTGCATTATCTAATGCTATTGCAGTGCGATTGACATTCACATTAAGCTGCTGCAGTGCATCAGTTGTGGCTGTTGCTCGATTTTCCAAATGCTTTAAAAACGTGTAGCATATTAATTAAATGCTCTATTTATAATTGCAGTTAGGCTTAGGTAATTGCATTATTATTTTACCTGTGAAAGATCTTGCATCCACGCAAGTAGCGAACAATCTCCTTCGAAACTCCATTGTGTTGCCTGTGGTATTATTTTTTCAGCTCTTGAACTTTCTTCCATTTTATCTTTGTTTTCACTTTATCAACTCACTGAAAACATTTGATTATCTACTAATTGAATTAATTTAATAAAAAACAAGTTAAATGTCAATATACAGCTGTTATCAGCTGTGACAGTGTGTTCAATCAGTTCTTAACTAACTATGAATGTAAATAAATATTACTCGTATGATCCGGTTACTTTGCAGATTGCAAAAGTTTATGCTTAACATCTCAAAAATCTTTAGTATCTTATTGCTCAATTGCTGTAATAGTTTAATAAATAATTATTTTCTAGTGAATAACATACATAAGTAACTGCTCTTGAATTTTTGACAGCCATCTGTATGTTGTAGACGACTATTGGGTAGCCACTGAACGTACCTTTCGCACGTGTGGTTGACATCAAAATTCTGTGATTGGTTTTTGTTTGCGAAGTTCACAATATTTATTGCGTTTTTTATTATTAGTTGTAAATAAATAGTTTAAAATTGCAGAACTTTATATTATATAGTAATAATTTATTAAAAACATTTTATAAAAATGGCGATGCTTGCAGAACCACGGCAAAGAAAACGCTATAATCTAACGCCGCGAGGCAAACCGCTGTATGAAGGTATTCAGCCAAAGTATTAGATAGAATTAGCTAATCTGAGTTTTATATTTACTTAGATGATTCGCGTTTCGGTACGAAAATGTTGGAGAAAATGGGATGGTCAAAGGGTAAAGGCTTAGGTGCAAAAGAAAATGGTATTCAAGATTTTGTACGTGTGCGTATGCGAAACACAAATGAAGGGTTGGGTTTTGAAGATCGTGACGATCACTGGACTCAGCATGAACAAGATTTTACTGGTTTGTTAAAAACTCTGAATGGTAAAAGTGACGAAAACGAGAAAGATAATAACGAAGCATCTGATGAAGATGCTCCAAGGGTGGGATTTGGTTTTCCGGCGGTACTTAAAAAGCCTAAAGTTGAAAAATTAAAGGATAGCATCAGTGGTATATCGCTGGAGGAAAAATCCAAATTAAGCAAAGCTCGCGTACATTATCGCAAGTTCACAAAAGGAAAGGATATCGCGCAGTATAGTGAAAAGGATCTTGCTAATATATTTGGTAAAAAAGCTGTAGATACACCGGAAGCTGATGGAATATATTCGCAACTGACAGCCATAACGACAAAAGAAGAAGAAAAGGAAGAAGACGAAACTATTGATGTAGATGACAAGGAAGTTAAATCTAATTTTGGAGGCGTACAAACAATCAGCACAGGACTTTCAGTGAGCGATTATTTTAAGCAAAAGATGGAAGCAATTAAAAATAAGCAAAAACAAAAGAGTAGCGCTCCACATAGTGATGAAAATGATACTACATTAATCGTAAATGTACAAGTAGACCAAATTGAGGGGGGAAAAAAGAAGAAAAATAAGAAACGCAAGCGTGAGACAGAAGCAGTAGAGGCTGATAGTCCAATTGATGCAAGTAATCGAAACAAAACTGATGTGATCGATTTAGAAAATGATAACTCTTTAAACAATGATGTTGAAGAGCCGGTTGCTGCCATTACGGTAACTAAAAATGATAAAAAGAAGAAAAAGAAGAGAGTTTTAGAAATCGTAGATTTGACGACACAAGAAGAAAATAATGTGCACACCGAAGTTCCCAAAAAGAAAAAGAAGAAATCTAAGGAATATTCAGAAGAACAACCTGAATGCAACACCGACTTGATTCATGAATCCGAGCAAGTTGAAATTCAAGCAGTTGAGGAGATTCAAGAGAAAAGAAAAACTAAGAAAAGTAAACCAGAGCAGTCACATGAGCTGGATGTTGAAGTAAATACAGATGTTGAAATTCCAAAAGTGAAACCGCCGAAAACGAAAAAGGATAAAACGTTAAAAGAAGTAGTACCCACCATGCCCACGGATCACAACACTGATGAAACTGTTGTAAAGAAAAATAAAAAGTCAAAAAATAAAGGCAAATTGGAAGATGAAACTCAACAGGTTGATTCGCAGACTAACGCTGAAGCTGCTTCGATCCAATCAAGTAAAAAGTCGAAAAAAGAGAAAAAACATGAGAAGCCCGCTCAAGCAAATACGGCAGAAGAGATTGCTTCCAACGAGCAAACAGAGAAAAAGAAAAGCAAGTCAAAAAAAGATGTAAGTGATGAAATTAAAATGATGACTCTTGACGAGTTGATCGCCAAATGTAATTCTTACAATGTCTACACCATTTCCTCATTTTGTGCAGAAAAATTCCGTAATATCGCATTAGATAGTTTCAAAGGATCGACAATAGCGCATTTACCCGGTTATTCACACACTTCGAATCTACAACTTAATGTAATAAATGAGCCGAGAGATGAGGAACGAATCACTAAACTTTGGAACTGTAGTTTAGACAAATACCGTCGAGTAAATCCAAAAGTAATTTTCAACAAATACAGAAAAAACTTGTTCAAAGCATATAAAGCCAAAAATAAAAAGAATCAAAAAGCAAAGTTACCCCAATTTAATATTAAATCACTCAAGAGAAAAAATGTGTTCCAACCAATATGAAGCAAAACGTAATAAATAAACAGTATGTTAAGCTAAAACTAAAAGTTTTTTATTAATTTTTTTTTAATTACGTTTGAAACGGGAAAGGTTGCACCCTAACCAAACAATCTCCAGATTTATTGTTGTTATTGCGATCGGCTATGTTTTGAGGAAAAATGTGTTTTTGATCAGTCAATAGTTCAAAAAAAAATTCAATTCTTTTTGTTTTTGGTATTAAAAAATTAAAGAATCGGTAAGAACTATTTCTGTTATCAGTACTCTGTTTATAATGTGGAAATTCTGATCATGCTGCATGTAGTGATGCCAAAAAAAAAAGAATTGCTTGGATAAGGAAAAACCTACAGAGAAGTGTAAAACACCATTGGTTGCTTCCCCACGAAGGTCCGAAACTCTGTAAAATACAAACCGGGTGTCGATTACGGGAAAACGATCTGTCAGCTCGGAAGCTCATAAAAGTGCCTTTGCTGACTTAACAACATGCGGTCAAACGATTACGTTTCGCCAAAGACCATTTGACTTGGTCTTTGACCAAATAGCTTAACATTTTTTAGTTTGTAAGACGCCCAAATCTTACAGGAGGTCATGCTCCCATATACTAGCAAGGAAATGTCACTGATTTGAACCTTTCAACAGGACAACGATCCAAAGCATACCAGCAAGCATGCAAAGAAGTGGTTTGGAGACAACCGAGTAAATGTTATGGAATGGCCTCCACAGTCTCCTGAGAATAACCCGATAGAAAATTTGTGGGCTCGGTGTCTGACTGTTATTCTACAAATAATTTACAGTTATGGGAATCCGTAAAAACCGCTTGGAACTCAATTCCAGTTGAAAGGAACCAAAACCTGGTGAGCTCAATGCATCGTCGCTGTTCCGCCATAATTAATAATAATGATTATACAACTAAATACTAAATTAATGTATATTAAGTAGTTAATTGATAGCCAATGTAAAAAAAACAACATTTAATACAACCTAAATAAAAAATGCTTTAAAATATACCCTTTAGCGTGTAACACAACCATTTGTATAATTTGACCGTAAATACTCCAGCGATTGTTCATCGGGTGAGGACCCTACTTTCCTATCTCCGCTGTGTCTTAAGGATGTAATAGTAAGCCGTGCTGATAGTGGTTCTTAGATAGACGGAATTAACTACAACCTCGACATTATTTCTATCTCCCAGTGATATGGGAGCCAAGACACGTGGGCGCTGACTGTTTATTTGACGACAATAGATTTTTCGTCTTGTCCTTGTCCACTGTTAGACCCATTCGCTTCGCTTTTTTCAACCAGTCTGGTTGAAGCAGAACTAACGGCACGGCTTTTAAGATCTACGCCATTTGCAATTGTAAACCCTTGTACCTTTTCAGTTTTGTTGTTGTTGTTGTAACCAAGAAAGTATTCCCCTCTTACGGCAGTCATGCTTTAGCGCGGGTAAGCTTTCCTTAATCAACAGGGTCTCCCATTTTTGTCTGTAGCCCCTCTTAGGACCGAACGGCTTAGAGAACTCCTACCCGATTCTGACAAAACTCTTGATGCTGCTCAGCGTCAAATTACCCAGCTGTTTCAAGTTTTGCGGGATATTAAATTAAGACAAAGCGGTCTATATATAGTCAGTTTGTTTTCGTGCTATTGAAGCCCACTTAAAATCGAAGATTTGCTTTGTATCGATTCGTTTTGTTGTTAGTGTATTCACAAGGCGCGATAAGTTCGTTGATGGTCTGCTCAACATGCTCGATTAGATCTTATATGCAATATGGATGAACTATTTGGAAGATTGAAGACTGAAAAGGAGCTGATGCATGCAATTTGTCTATTGGTCGCCCCATTACTCGTCAAAGTTGTGCAACGGAACGTTTACTCCATCGAAGGCGATTGGGAATTTGGTTACACCACCTCCGGGTGTTAAACTTTCACTGCCATACAGTAGGTTGGAGAAGTGTTCCATCCATGAGTACTGAGTATACACCGAGCATCGGTCCCGGTTGTTGTTGTTGTTGATGATGTTGTTGTTGATGTTGTTGTTGTTGTTGATGTTGTGGTTGTTGTACCGGCTTACCAACCTCTCTTATGAGGGCCATCTAACGGGAGGTCATGGAAACAAGCTGTTTCGAGGGGTTCGGACTAGAATCTCTCTACATAAAATGGTTTTAGGAGGCGTGCAAAGTGGTGATTACGTATGTCGGGCTTAAGTCTGGCTAAGTCGAAGTTTGATCAATTACAATATCCAGACGTAAGTTGTATCAATTTTATACGAGACTCTCGAGGCAGTTCGCGCTCTTTGTCTGCAATAAGTGATGGTTTGACTCCGACAACGCCATTCGCCGGAAGAGTTCATGAAGGTGTTGACGGACTCTCAGTGAACGGCGCTTAATTCCTGTCTGCCCGCCGGCCTTTCCAATTCGACAGCCGGTTATACGCACCGGATTTCCTGGATTTTATCCGGTCAAAAGCTGTCACGTTTTCGGCGACTTAACCACGTTTAGGTCAGAAGGTAATCGTCCGTGAGTCGCCGCATATTTCCATAGAAATTTCGAGCTTCTCATGGTCTTCATACTCAGGCATTGAGATGTGACTCCTTGCCTGTCTGCCACTCTTCAACTCTCTCGATAATCTAATTCGGCTTAATTTAAAGCAATTATTGTTATACAAAAACAAAAAATATTACAACAATCGATTTGCACAAAGCTTCCCATTTAATTACGCTGTGAGACTCGCCACATGACCATCAAGTAATACGTGTATTTCCAGCTCGGTTGAACTCGGTAAGTAATAAATTATATATGTATATATATGTGCATGTCTGTATGTATGCATGTATGCACTCCCTCCTTATTGCATGCAAATTGCTACGACATGCGACAACCACATCCTACCCAAACCTGAAGCTGTCCAATGTTTGGTCAACAATCAGACCGCCCACTAAAAGTAATTCAAAAATTATAACAACGACGGAAGCCGAAATAAAAAAATTCCAAAACCAACAACAAATAGAACGAGTATGCAATAAATTGTGTAATTATTCGCCTTGTGAAGGCCACAGGATCAATGACTATCGGCTGGGCTCGGTTACTCTGGGCTAGGTGAGCATTTGAAATTGTCTAGTCGTGCTGAGCGGACGTGTGTGTGTGTTTGCTCTCAGTTGTAACTCAGAACTCAGAAGTGGGCAGTGCCCTTTGCGGTCAAAGGGTAAGCAAGCCCAAGCTCATCAATGAATTATGAATTGGTAACATGTGCACTTACATTGTTACTCAGGTATGTATGAATGTATGTATGTGTGCGCAATTAGTAGTCAAGTAGCAGAAATAACAATAACAACAATGAATTGAACAAAAAAGCGAGCAGCTATTGGAGCGCAGGCAGGTAATTGTTTACATAATTAAATTGCCAACTAATTACATATTTGTCAATCGCTCGTTATAACCGTAATGAATACCTTTGTATATGCATATATACATACATACATACTTGTTGTTGTTTTGCCAACAAAATGATGAAGTATTACGTGAGGAGATGATAATTGCACTTGCCGAGCGTTGAGGCAAATTATCCTTCTTCTTGCTAATACATATATATACATACACACATATATACATACATACACACATATATACATACATACACAAATAAGTACCTGGTTTGATGTGAAGAAGCAGACTACAACGGCAAAAATGTGAAAGTTGTTAGGAGACTTCGCCAGTTACCCGTTGCTTCACTCTTTATTTCGTTTAAGATATTTTGAAGGATTTTACAATAAGAGGTGTTGCATTGAATGGCCTGCCATTCCGTTAGATGTCACTTTTGAGACGGTGGTTTTTTTGACATTTGACAAGTTAAAACTACGACAGTAATAAAAATGGGACGATACGCATTGAAATTATTGAGATTTGCCATAAAAATGGTGCAAACCTGGCAGAGACGCTTCGTAAAGCTGAAACATTTTTTTGGTCGTCGACCGCCCGCAATACAGGAATTGGTGGAAAAAATGGAGCTGCTGGGACAAGAAAGTGTGTATATTGCTGTGTTGAAGAGCACCCAGTTTTTTCCATACCTCATCGATCTATGGAATTGGGCATTTCACAAACGACATTGCACTATATTTTGCATAAAGACTTGGATCTTAAGACTAATAAAGTTCAGTTAATAGAAGAACTCAAGCCGGCCGATCATCAACAGCGACGTGTCTTTGCTAATTGGATCCTTGAAGTGCTTGAAAATGATGCGGAATTTCATCGAAAAATCATCTTGGCTGATCTTTTCCACCTCGATGGATACGTCAATAAGCAAAATTGTTCCATCTGGGTTGCAGAAAACCTAAGATTTATCATTATAAAGTCACTACATACTCCACGTGTGACTGTTTCGGTGTGGTTTATGCTCTGGCAGGGTCTTTGGACCTTACTTTTTCGAGACTGAATGGATTGCGCTATCAAGAGATGATTAATGATTGAATTGGAAAACGTTTACTTTCAACGTGACCACATAAGCAACGAAAATTGCCAAACCTAGTTATCTCGAAGAGGTGACCGCAATTACCCACCTAGATCTTGTGATTTTACACCCGGTGATTTCTGCCAATGGGGCCACGTGAAAGATAAGGTCTACGCTAGCAGGTCAACATCGATTCAAAACCATCAAGACGGAATTCGTGAAGCTAGCGGGGGTATAAAGCAACCACTTCGCGATTTGGTGAAGGGAAATTTCAGAAAAAGGATACGGTCATGTAAGCGAAGCCGTGGCGGCCATTTGGTCGATGTTGTTTTCTATTATTAATGGCATGTCTTCCTTCTTATATTGAAGTAAACATCCGATCAAAATAACCTCTTATTGGAAAATCTTGTGCGAGGGGATTAACTATTAAAGACTTTTCCTTTTCAATTTTTGCAAATAACCAGAAATCACAAGTTGCTTTATGCAAGGAATATGGTACTGGGCAGATTTCTCCGATCCCAGAGATCGCAATAAAATTGCTCGTCACCTCAGCAGTGTGTGTCATGATGTAAAAAGCAGCGCCGCAAATCCTCTTTTTTCTTGTTTTCCA